AATATGTATATATATTCATATATGTAAATATAATATTATATATATATATACATATATATATATTTGTACATATATATATAAATATATATCTATTTATATATATTTACACACACATATATATATATATATATAGTTATATATATCTATACATATACAAATACACATACATATACACACATATATCAAAGAGCTGTTCTGATGCGTCGTTTTTTGGCTTGTGTATAGCTCGATCTCGACAGACACCTCTTTCGACCTCTTACTTGTCATTGGTGACTCCTTGTGACCTATTTTTTTTCTTCGAAAGCGAGAGACTGCAGGGGTTATACTGGATAATGTTCATAAACGCAATTTAGATAATCCTGGAGGCTTGCCTATTGTTGTGCGGCACGGATAATATCGTGTAGGCAATCCTTTTATGAGCTCAAATCATGTAGTATAGAATACTTGCATACTCTATGGCAGCGGAAATTACATGCTGAATACGCAAATTCTTCGTGGCAAAACCTGGGAGTTGACACCATGATTTTGTGTTCATTCGTCATACGAAGATTGGCATCTAACAACGCACACGATTCGAAGAAAAATGCATCTCTAACTGTCATTATTCAGTTATAATCCATATCATTTTGACAATTGCCGTACAGAAATCGGAGCTTGCGATTTGCAGGCAAGGGTACCTCATACGTATATTGTATGCTGCACTTCTGTTGTACGATTCTTCATCATAGGACATTTCATAGCCACCAAAAAACACACAAAAGGATAGCCTTCTATTTATAGAAAGCCACAAGGCTATGCTTTAAAATAGTTAGATATTTAAAATCTATTTATTATTTAGCGCCATAGGGCATAGGCCCTACACTCTACTACTATTTTTTATTTACTTTAAATACGTGTATTATTTAGAGACTCCAAGACTCAAAGAGTGATGTTGTGGTCAAAACTCAAAAGGCAATTCTGAATTCGAGTGAAATCGGTGACTATTTTAATTTATTTAAAAAAAAACAGAGCGAGTAGAGACTACTATTTTAGAAGTAAATAGAGACTCAGTAGAGAGAGAGACTCACACAAGCGAGATTGTGGTCAAAACTCAAAACTCAAAGGCAATTCTGAATTCGGGTCACAAATCCATTTATTTTAAAATACCTGTGTCCTACATACTGACTACTGAGAGGCCAGAGCCTCCCAGAGGACAGAGGGTCAAGAATTCATGTCTGCCTTTTGTAATTAAAAAAAAAGATGCTGTTTGACCCGGGCACCCGCCGCCACCCGGCTTCTTGTCTGTCCCCAGTGTTCAGACTTCAGACTCCAGACTACCCTATCCAGCAGAGAAGGCAGTATTGACCAGACCGCCAGAGGGGGGGGAACCGTTTTCAGTTTTCATGGCTCTCTTCATACATTCCCTATGAATGCTATTTTCTAAAAAAAATACTTTTTAGAACGTGCATGGCCCTCTGGATCAGGGTCGCAAGCAGAAATCAGGTTTCGTCGTAGCGGAAATCGTAAATTTAAAAAAAAATTCATAGCCTTCTGAAATCAAACATGTTTGATTTCAAAAGGCTATGAATTTAAAAAAAATAAAAATATATTATAAATAGCTGAGACCCAAATCCTGAAGGCCATGTGCTTTAGCCCTCTATTGTTACTATTTTTAGAAAAAGTTAAAAAACATTTTTTTTAACTAAATTTTCATAGCCTTCTAAATTTTATAGACATAATTTTACTAAAAACTTATTGACTACTGAGAATTTGAGATTTGAGGGGTTATGGCCTATAGGATAGAGACTAGAGTACAGTACATTATGTAAATATTTTTACTAGTAGAGAGAGAGAGAGAGATTGTTGCGGTCAAAACTCAAAGGCGATTTTGCCTAGTCCGTTCAGCCATATTTTCTTTCTTCTCTAGTAGAGGGTCAAGGATTTTGAATTCGAAATCATGCCCCTCTCTTTTTGTTTTTATAAAACAAAACTCCAAAATCTAACTACTATTTTTTTAAAGTACTGTATGTATGTACAATTCGTTTTTAAAATTTAAAATACTATGTACTCTCTCTCGCGAGAGAGTGTAAATACCCTGTAGAGTGTAAATATTTAGACTGTATTTAGAGAGAGTGGAAAACCGAAAAATAGTACTTATTTATAAAAAAATATGACCATTATGTACGAGGGCCAAAAAAAAAGGTAGCCTTTATATAAACTTCATGCTACTATTTTTATACAAAATCTGAAAACACCCCTTCCGTGATTCCATGTTCTAAGCCTCAAAGGGGATAAGATAAGGCCAAAAATAAAGAAGCGTTCCTGATTTACTAAATCTGAACTTCAATTTATCCCCAATATATTTTGGCATATTTCAAGATTTAAATATTTCGTAAATGATCTGCGAAGGCGCCAAGGTCGTAGTACAAGTAGAACACCTATGCTTAGGAGTCTAACACAACATCGGAAACCTCCAAAGCGCGAATATTGGGTCTAAATACACATAATTAGTAAAGTTTCAAAGTTGTCACGTACAAACATTGCCAAAACAATATCGTATATGTATTCTTATAACCGTAATTTAAGCTACAGCTGCTAAAATCGAGAAAAAGTGTGCTTCCGTCATTTGCTGTGCCATGCCATCGATTGCACGATGAATCTCATTTCCTGAACTTTTTGCCAAAATTCACTACATATTCACCTACAAACGATTACAATAACATTACTATGGTTTAATTATGCTTATATAGGTACAACGAAGGTCAGAAAATCATATCGAAGACACATAATTGAATATGCACACCAAAAAGTGATTTTGAGCAAGCATAATAAGTATTCTATACCACAATGATGATTTCTGAACTAACAATACTTGTATTTATTATATATTAGAACCCTTAGAAGGTTCAAACTGCTAATACGCGACCTGGAAATCCAAGATTTGACATGGTCGAAAAGAGCACAATCCCCTGTTCATAAATCGATAAATACACTTGACCCTCTAGAGAAGAATTAAAATTATATGCCTGATCGGACTAATGTCCGGAGGACAAAATACATAACTGTATGAACCAGTAGAGCTATCAACTTGGCTCCTTCGCAATATTTTTTTGAAATGTTTTTAGAAAAAGTCGAGAAAACAAAATTGGGATCATATCCAAAACCGGATATAGTGAATTATGTTTGCTTCTTTAAAATCGAGTCCCCTTAATAGTCTATGGATGGGGTTGTTTTAAAAAATAATATAAATAAGCTACGTTTGTAAATATTTGCATGATGAATATTCAATATTGTTCTATAGAGGCATATTTAGCCTCTAGTTCAATTTATTAGAGGGGGCTAAAACGTAAATAAGTATATAAATAAATAAATACACATGTACGCCGTATTAATATTTTGTTGGAAATAAAAAGATATATTCAGTGTAATGACTAACTCGAGTGTACTGTACAAAGAAAAAAAAAGGAAGTTCAGTACTGTACAAATATGTATATATAATAAATAAAGCTATATTTATATATGTATAAAAATAAAGAGGGCCATAAATACCTAAAAAAAGTTTTTGTCTTCATAAACTTAAGCGAAGGACTGTAGGACAGGAGGCTATTTTTGTTGTTGTTTTTTATTAAAAAATATGAAAGGCGGCATCGCCTTCTGAAATCAAACAGAAGGCTATTTATGAAGGCGGTTGTATTTTTGTTTTGTATATAAACAGTAAAGCATTGCTTTTCTATAAAGCGTTGTGTGGTGATAAATTATGAATGTTCTTCTTCAAACTGAAACACTAGTATTTACGTGAATACTTTCGTTAATGACTATTTATAACCACTGAAGCGTTCATCTACAATAAGAGCACACTATGAGAAAAACTAGAACCTTGTCCGAGTTTTGTGTTTGCTTCATAAAATCATGACTAAGGAAGATTCGGCGTTGCAATTAGACATCTTGTCGTCGCTGCCACAGGATAATACGCTCACAGTGGCTTCGAATTTAAACCAGAATAGTGCAGATAGCTTCACTCCACATCAATTGATAAGAGAAACACCCGCAAGTGCTAGAGATGGGCACTTTGCTCGGCAAGTACCTGCTGCACCTAGAAAGGAACTGACATGTCAAATATTCAGTCAGATCAGCTGGGTCGTATTTGCGTGTGCGGTGGTCGTGTTTGGTGTTATAAACATTGCGTTCTGCTCGCCTTACTTCTTATGGCCAGATGAGCGTAGGAGCTATTTGATTTACCTGTTATTAGGGGCACTGTTGGTTCAATGGGCTATCGTGATTATATGTCACATACTTATCTATCGGCACAGAGAGAACCCTTTAGTCAAAAGTCGGGGGGCTGCATATCTGGTTCACCGATTTATCAGTCTCCTCGTATACTCAGCTTCGTTCCTAGTTTTGGCAGCTGAAAAGAACGGTGTAATATCCAAAGCACCGGTTAAGTTGGTCGCACAATCAATCTTCTGGGTGGGGATTGCCAATGTGTTTGGCAGCTTCATAATCCGTCAGAGACTCATAGCTCTTGTGTTTGCGAGTTCTATGACGGTCCTGCCTAAAAATATTTACACCAAGGGTATACTCTACATCCAAGTCATATGGTTAGTGCCTGTAATCGTATTCTATGTATCCTACTTGACATCGGAGCACAGCTCAATAATATCTTTGGTTACATTGTTTGTGACCGAAACCTGTACGGCTGGAGCATTCATTTATTACACGTTCAAGTGTCGGAGGGTACAGCTTCTTTACAGCGATTGGCAGAATAATGCAAGGATCTTGATTCTAGCCGTTGTAGTCACAGGTATGTTCAAATACACTATTTACTTCCACGCCATGTGCTTATGATTATGGTTCGATCACCCTATAGTAGAGCGGCGTATGCCAGTGTTATGTCGAATCCAATGTATTACAATGATCATTTATTGCGAAATACCTCTTTGCTGACTGAGATGCGCATGTTCTGATGAAAACGAATCTGCGACGAGATGCTCGAGTTTCATTGCACAAATTTAAATTAATTACTAATACACGGTTTCTCCCCATCCCTTGGCTTGTTTGTGTATAGTGGGCACATACTGGTTTGCGGTTCTGACACAGGATGGCAACTCCTTTCTCTTCGAACAAGGAGGCATTAGGCTGGATTTCATGTTCTTTGCGGATTGCTTCTTGAACGAAATATTTATATTAGATCTGTATGTTTGCTTGGTCGCAATTTGGCTGGGCTACACACCCGCGCTCATCTCGCGCATAGGCATAGCCACACATATGCAAACAATCGCAGAGGATCGAATGACGCGGATGACAGCGATGTCTATGGAGAATGCTGTCGCTCATACTGTCGCTGTGCTCAACGCACAACAAGAGTTAACGGCCGGGATGGTGCGGAAGGAAGATCAGGAGAAGAATAATTATGTAGATGTGCATCACACAGGGGCTGAGTCTCTAAGCACACCCGGTAATCTGAGCGCTTCGACTAGCCGTGGTGTTCTCCTGTAATGTTCTACTTAGCGCAATAAGCACATGCGAGAGGTCGCATGCAAAGCACAGCTAAACGATAGCAGCTATGGAATGGTGTGTCATCGCCAGAGACTGGAGATGCGGTTGAACGCAAGCGCTTGTGGCTGATGCGTTTCAGGAACGATACATACATGTATTATGAGTGTATTGGGTTGCTGGTGGCCTTGTATCAACGAGTGACACAACACCAAGGAACACACAGGCAAGGGAATGTGGAACGAAGTGAGAAGTCGGGTTAGCTGATGCGGTATCACGAACTTTTCGTATAATAGCGAGGTTGAATTTCAGTGGATGATGGATTTACTATCAAAAATATGCGGGTAACGTTAACTCTGCAGTACTTCCGAGGTAGAAGTGTGATCTGCGCAAATCTGGGCTTTTTTTTTCTGCCAAGGTATTAGATGTTTTCGATTACAAAACGGAGTTCACACAGCTCCCACGGGATTGTCACAGCAGCTCTCTACAACTAGGGAATGGCGAACGAGCCGCACAGAGACGTCATGAGCTGCACTCACTGGCGAACACAGTATAAAATATTAGAAACAATAATTTAGAAATATCAGCGGACGCAATCAGCAGCGCCACCTGAATGAGACGATGAAATATAATTTATAAGGCATGTAGTTTGGAAATAAAGTAGAATCCAAAACCGGTTTGTGACCCTTGTATTGAGTACATCTCTATCATAGCGGATCATCTCGGAAACTATCACGGCCATTACGATAATTTTTCACGTCTAGGGGAGCTTTGCAGGCGATTACTCACGCTTCAAATCTACTGTTATGCTTACGTTACATTATAATATATCCAAGTTCGTTCGGCGTGGCCCTATATCGGTCGCTATATCACCCTCCACCCCGCTTTCTCTTATGCCTTTCCGCATGTGTACTATGCCTCTGGCTACCGCCATTGCCGCGATAGCGTATTCGAGTCAATTGCTTCGTACTACAGCGTTTACCAATTTCTACCTGACAATTCTCAATCTCAACTTTACTTTAGGAAGTCGTATGAGCGATAGATCCGATTTACAATATGCACCCGATCCCGCACCTGTGATATTTGGGATGAGAGTCCAAAACGTTTGAATATGCAAATCGAAACCGCAAAGTTATCGGCTTTGTGCCAACCGAATATATGCGTGCCTCTGATCCTCTTCTGTGGTGTTGATAAATAACATGTCGCATTGTACACACAACACGAATATATATTCATGTCTGGTTGTGCTATACGTCTCTGTGGTTGTACTTTACTGTGAATATCGTGTACTTTGAATATCATATAAGTATATAAATGCACGTTGGGTGATAATTGATAAAATACACACGCTGTATGTGTTCCATACTATGATTGTAACCATGTCCACGAGCCACAGTCGCTCGCATACACATATATACGTGCATAGTGTCTGTTCTGCCAACCATATGCTCGCATGCGCACAAGTACAAATTCACACACACCCCCATAAAATCCGTAGGCCAACATAAAGTTTAGTATAGTTTCGATGCATCGGAGTCCTACCTGTTGTTCCCCGGACGGCACCTTCTCCAAATCACGGATATCAGAAAGAAACATGCTGCAGGCAGTGCGTGTGATGGGAATTAATGCGTGCTGATTAGAGATCTTGTCAGAACAAATTGAATCATGTTGAGACTATCAATTGGAGTCACTGGATTGGGGTAAAGGGAAAGGCGATAGGTAATGGGTCAACTTTTATTGGTGAAGAGTTCGGAATAGATTGTTGGACTTACGACAAAGTCTCGAATTTTGTAAAGGTGTGTCTTTGGCAAATGTCAAAGCCATCCAAAGCTCACAACGTCATACCAACTCCCTGGTTGGCGGTAGCAAGTTTGTTTGTGATGCTCCTTTTCCTTCCTTTCTCGTACGACTACTATACACGCGAGAAAAGATGCTGAACGCCATACTCCACGGACAGATGAAACTACCGAACATTACTACTAACACTAACACATACCCAAACACACCCCTTTGGACAATGGTATAGAATCGGGCTAGAACAAATATCAGAATGCTATCCTGAAAAAGGCATGGCTTCACCCTTTTCCTTCATCTTTAACACTTATGTGCACATCAAAGACTTTGATGTCTCTCATTTGGTATGCATATATCTACGTCCTTCTCAGAGACACACACCTCTCGTCGCCTGCAGACAGCTTGTTACTAGCACGGCGGAGTCCAGCTAAGCAACCAAGAATACGACCTGGCGAACAAGCACACATCAGTTTAGATAAGAGTCGAACGCTATTTATAATCAGTTCCCGTATGCTGAGTCTTGTGTGTCTAGCGAGGTTGGCATTTACTAACGCAGGTCATTTGAGAGAAATACAAGCAAGTGTATACAGTGTGGCCTATGTGAAGGTGGAGTCTGTGCCTAAGGTTACAGGTCGGCTAACGTATTGGTAGGCGCAACGGGGTATTCAGAAGTGAGACCTGAATACAGTCGGATACGTGAACGCAAGAATGGTACGGCAGCTGAGACAGAAGGACTGGACACGGAAAGATACAAGCATGTATGTGAGCACACATAAACATCACACGTTAACATACGTAAAATATGCTACCTATTGCTCTGACTCATTCTGAAAGGGCGAGATACATATATATATACAGATTCGTATTCGACAATGCATTGTTCAGCAGATTCGCAATGTACGCTGCTATGAAAGCTGTACAAAACTAGAAGCTACATATGTATAAATAATTATGTATTTTCTACTCTGTATTGATATGTGTCCGCTAATGTAGTTATTTATCCACAGAAAGTGATACTCGCACTTTGCGGGCTTCAAAGCACAAATTGACTGGGAAATGCATAAACTTCGCCACAAGTCGTATAAAGGTGTTAAAGTGTCTGGTACTTGACAGGTTCACATACCTTTGTATGCCCATTGTTTGGCATCAGTATTTGCCCGTGAGCTGCGCATATTGAGTTTTTGGAGTTTCCTGTTCGAAATCAGATAGAATTTTCGTAAGTGTCAGATTAGATATGCTTGAGTTTTAGATCAGGTTTACTTGTGTGTGAATTAAGATCTACTTCAGTGTTCGATCCGATTTACTTGAAGTGATAGATCAGATATACTTGAATGTTAGATCCGAACCACCTGAGTGTTAATTCAGATTTTCTTGAGTGTTAGATCAAATTTGTTTGACAGTTGGATCAGATTCCAGATTTGCTCGAGTGTGAAATCTGATATACTCGAGTGTGGCCGACATGCGCACACACCACAGGAAGCCCTGTGACATACGTAATACGTGCGAGTCATTGATAGCTGAATCTCGTCACGTAATACCCTCCAACTTTAGCCCATGAAAGGCGCCTTTCGCCAATTTAACAAATACGTTTACCTGCTTGATTTTCAGGTTGTAGGACATACATACCTGAGTTCAAAGCTGAAAGGTAGAACTCAAATACCCAAGTTTTAATAGAAGCCAAGAGATTTTTATTTCTTGAGTCCTCATGAAATAATGTGCATACCTGAGTTGTAGATTGAAGGACAGGATTAGGCTCTTGCTGTAGACTCCGCGGTATCTTTGGATGCTCGACCACACCCCAGATACGGCATAGAAGAACAGGTACAGCGTGGGAAAGGCAGTCAGCATTTGGAAATTAAGCTGGGGAGTGAGAGAGACACGGCAGAAAAGTCAGAGACATCGGAGATGATATACAAGATAATATACATGAGACGCGAGAAGGGGTGCAGGGACATGGGAGTGCGTTCAGCAGCCAGGCACAGGCTAGCGTGAACATGAAGAGATATAATGTCAGCGATACGACTATGGCATAGAACGGATGTCGCAGTGGACGTATCAGCAATTGATCAGTTTGTGTATGATATGATGGTGCGAGACTGTATCGTAGAAATTGATATATCACAGTGACAGCCAACGGGACACAGGAAAAGCACAGAGATCTGTTGACGGGCACCACCATGAATGCAACCTGTGGGTGAAACTGTATAGGACACAGGAATAGATATAACATAGCAAACAGAACAGGCACGATACGCAAACCGATGTGGATGTTCGACTGTCGGGATCAGGGTGGGAGAAAGACAGTTCTACGATCCAGCCACAGGATATCACACAAGCAAGGAAGAAAAGCAGTACTTGAAGGCAAGGTTGGCAAGTGACAGGGTATATCATATCGATCACAGATAACAGACACAGCCTGGAACATCTCCAGTATGATTCAATTGAGTTGGTAAATGCAAGGGCATGGGATGTGAGCCTGACGTCACAAGCGTAGGCTCAAGCCAAGTTGAAAGTGTGGGACATATGTAGAACTGTAACCCCCGCGAGAGGTAGGAGGTGTGTTTTGATCCAACAACCGGATTCAACGGAAATATGTGGATACAGAGATGGGGTGTTGGAGCTGAACGACACCACACACACAACACTACGGTGGGCTAGGCAGCGAACGAACAGACAGAACAAGAAGCAGTGAGGATCAGAACAAACAGACAGAACAAGAAAGAGAGACCTGACATGATCTACAGAATTATCAGACCCTACGCACGAGACAATAAGGAAGCGGTGCGGTTAGGTGGACGTAGAACGGTGGTTTGTCGACGTCTAATGTTATTCAGATTTGAACGAAACAGTGGAAGATCATGGAAATTACTTAATCTGAAATCACGGGGCAGTGTACCAGGATGCAGGCGCAGAATTAAGACGGATCCAGGAACAGGCATAGTGAAATATAAGGAAACTGAGAGGTATACTAGCTCTCAGCATTACATATAGAAGGATGAATAACGAACATAAAGAACACGAGGGAACACAGAGAAGCACCAGAGTGACAACAGAGATGCACTAGAGTAGAGCGCTACATTCAGAAATAGGCATAGTGAAGGATATGCATGCAGGTGTTGATCAATGCCTCCAGAAACAAGCACGGTCGCGCACATCAGAAGGTGAGTCACCTACCTCGTTGGACGCCATTAGGTTATCTATGGCCGCCATCATACTGCCGGCATCCACCTTTTGCTTTTGAACCTGGGGCCGCCAAAAGATGATGGGTGTGGATGAGAAGCGAGTGTGTACGATTGAGGGGATACTTTGAGTCTATCGAGAGTCGGACAAGGTCGTAAAATCTCACGTAAAGTCGAGTATAGTCCTTTAATGTCGTATGGAATAAGAGTATACGATATAACGCATCGTATCCGAATTAGACTGATTTGCCTAGGCACTGCTTGGATTTATTATCCGGTCCGCTTAACCAGACATTGCCAAATAGATAAAACCCACACAATTTAATACGAACAACCGCACATACGTTGGCTATTAGAAGGTTCGGTCCTTGTATCGTGTACGTGAATAAGAACAGGCTTATCGAGATGATCTCAAGTATAACCATACTCGAGAGATTAAGATTCGGGAAATTACGGATTCGAGACCGGCATGTAAACTAGGAATGCCCATTTGAACAGTGCACGAGCCCTGAAGCGGTTGGTAGCAGTCGAATTTTGAAATCCCATGAACAGAGTCAGGACAAACTCCTGACCAAATTTAACAGTTTCAGAAGAACCTAATGACCGGATTTCATTTCAGGTCAATCTCTCAGACTAGATAACATCATTTCAAGACCATTGCCCCGGCTTACCTGGATCAAAACATTCTGTACCATGTCGCCAGTCAAAGCATTCTTCAGGGGATGTTTGATGTCTGCGGCATATTTCATCAGCACCTGTTGGTAGGCTGCTGAGATTTCTGGTGCCTCCGCCTTGGCTGCGAACTATGTAATACAGAGGGTGACTGTTAATGCATTTCGGAAAGGTGGTTTCTCTAATCTAAATATAGGGTTGATACGGGTTATCCCTGTGTTCTCGTGCCTTTGCCTCGGCTGCGAGCTATAGCACACAGAGGATGGCTGTCAATACGTGTGTACATAGTAGTTTCCATATAGATGGGGTTGATACGGATCAGTCCTATGTTCTGGGGCCTCTGCCCTGGCTACGAGCTTTTCAATCACAGGATAGCTGACAACACATTCATTCGTATCTAAAAAGGTGCCCTAGATACAGGCTATTCCTATATAGGTCGTTCACATAATGCTACACATGACCATCTTGTTTATTCTTGAGGTACCTTGAAATCAAATGAGAGCAATGGCAGATATACTTAGATCACGTTGACTACTACTGCAAGCATGACAAATGCATCTTGTGCACATACATGGACGCTATTCTCATGTGGGCTATGAAATATAGATACTTGCATCTACAATTAGGTATCTAATGAGTAGTTGCGGATAAAAATATAGAGAACACAACTATGACCTTCTCATACAATTTTGCATGTTTACATATTATAGCACTCGACATAATTATGATTACCGGTTCTTCCTGGGGAATGGCGTGACTACCGGCAAATTCAACCACCATGCGCCTCAGAGACTCGGTCTCCACCTCCAAGTTATGGGCCCGCTGTTGCAGTACATCTTTCTCAGTGTCAAATCTGAAGTGTCAAACGACATGTCATGTTACAATTATGGCATTTTGTGACACACTACAGTGATGTAGTAGTACGGACTATCACTGAGAGGTATGGTGTGTGTACTTGAACGGGAAGATAATAAAGCATACTTAAAGTACGAAGCGACTCAAAATGAACATAAACTTAAACCAGCTAGATATATAAAAACTATTTTTGGGTTGAGTCTGGGACTACATAAAAGTATGCAACATGTAAAAGGAAACAGTATATTTGGATAACTTGCATAATCAAATTCGAATTGCTCAAGATTTGCGCAATGATTCGATAATCAATCAGTTCATTAGCAGGCCAAAGTGCACACATAATCTACGAGTACAGCTGTCTCGTGAGTATGCGATGAAAGATGTGGAGCGGAATCTAGACGGAATAAGAAAGTCCAGGTGCTGGTTTGTATCGCTACAATATATATGTTATATCACGTTGTTCGCAGTCCATTTCTCGGTGAGATGTTTGTGTGTGCATTGTTGTTGGCGTTGTCCTGTACAGCTGAGTAAACAATCACCACACAATGAAGACAGAGGGTGTATAGAATTACGCAAGCGCCTCACTATAATATGTACCAGACCAGAAAACTACCACCACACATATTTTAAGGAGATCCAACGCACAAGGAAAAGGATGAACACGAAAGGTCGCTAAATCCACACAAACACTCTCATACTCAAGTTGATCATATATGCAGGCTTGAATAGTTTAAGTTTTAACGTGCAGCAATTGCAAGTGCTCGAGGTTTTCAATTACAGGGGCAGGGTATGAATGGCTGCAAACGATAATCTGCTACGATAATCTGCACAGACGCTACATGTCAAATTGCGCAGCCCAGGATTAGGCCTGCAAGACCGTATTCATCAACTGAGTTGCTGAATAAAGTCAAAAACAGTAAAACATCGATGATAAGTTTTCTACGCACGTGTATGCAAAGACAGGAGGATCGTACCTTATAGTGTTGTAGATGGAGGTCAGCGGTTCAATAACGTAGTCTTGAAGGAATTTCATTGTCACTTCCTTCGACTCCACAAACGCAACCTTGATGGACGCCCGTTGCTTGGTAACATAAGAAGCGGAAAATCCAGCCACTGAGGTAGGTGTTATTTTGAAATAAATGACACACGATACAAAACATGCAAGTCTTTATAATATACAAGACTATATTCATAAATACATATATATGTATCTACGCAAAATACTAATATCCACACAGAAAAAGAAAGGAATAAACACACACATACACATACACACACATCCATATATAT